TCGGATAGCGCTCTGTGTTTTTTGACAAAACCAAGATCTGAGTTCATCAATTTTTCAGCGAATGATTCCAACCTGAATTTTTCTGTGAAGTCTTGAATTAAACATGGGTTTTAATTTCGGAATGAAAGAATGGAAGTTGAAACTCAGATCCAAGGAAGAGAGAGAGAAACCCTTCTGTGAGCGGTCCCAAGAGAAATGTCGCTGGTGGTGGGAAGTATAGGTAAACAAAGAGCCAAAAACTAACTATTTGTGTTCAACTCTCTACTCTAATTCTCTAATTATCGAATCTATTCAGGCAAATTGGGTGGGTAATCTGCGAAACTGAAACTTTCTGAGAAGCATTTAAGCTTTTGGACAAGAAAGGCGAAGAAGTACAGTACTTTCGGCTACTGCCAATGAAAAATGTCTCCCAGCTAGAGTCGAAATAGGTCAGTTGGTCCCGGCTAGGCAACCTCAAGACCTTCAAACTCTACTTCACATTTCACACTCTGAACAGCCTTTCCGGGCGAGGGTTGTATCTGGCTGAGAGATCTTTCTTAAGAGACCACGACGGCGAAAGCTCTTGAACATGATGCTCACCTGACAGGTCTGGGTTGAACAGTACTGCTTTGTACTGCTCAACGAGACGAGCGATGTCGAGCCGTTCGTCAACTTTCACTTTCAGACTGTTGCTCATTTCCAGGAGCACTTTGATGATAGCCCACGAAAACGGGGCGTGTGAAGACCAAACGAAACGGATCTGACGAGATTCGTCTGGACGGGAGAATTCGGGAGGGGAAAATCGAGGAGAGTGGCGATAGAAGAAAGGCAACTCGCAATTGTCGACTCTATCGATCGATTAGCTTGCTGCGCCCACCGCAGCCGCTCGCCTCTCTGGTGCCCCCTCGTTTCATCCACTGTCTAGCCATCGATGCCATGCTCTGATCGATCGATCGCCCAGGCACTTCCCGTCAGCACCACCCGACCGTTGATTGAAAGTGAGGAACCGTTACGAGTGTGAAACTCTCACCTATCTGCACCCGATCTGGATCATCGTGGGTGGGACGGGATCGCTGCGAATCGCTTCACGGGCGAGGTCAGCTTCTTCCACGAGGCTTTCCCCCAAGCCAGTTATCCCAGCAGCAGGGCACCTGGTGGGAAGAAATGCCATGGATTCCTACTACGTTAGTTAGCTATGAGTGGATGGAATTGATCTGCACCAATCTGTCCCAGTTGGGTTACCCACACGATACCCTGTTGATTTTGACCTAGAAATAAAATTTATGGGCTTTAGGAGTCAGAAAATGGGGGTACAAAACTGGCCCTGTGGTGTTCACCCATTTGTGAGTTTCCATTTCAGACCGCTTCACAGACACAAATGACTGCCCGGCAGAAGTGGTATTTTGGACATTTATCGACATAAGTAGGGGGTCGACGGACTACTTGAACTCAGCCCTTTAAACCGCCTCTGCGCTCTCTCGCGGGTCCCTCTCCTCTCCAAGGCTTAGTCCTAGGGCATTCACCCGTTCTCTAATCGTCTGTGCTCTAGCCATCGCGGCAGGACCATTGAGGAAAAATCAAGTAGTCCGTAAACCGTGCTAATGCCCTTGTCGATGAGTAACACGAACCCTCTGCTACCTACCT